GGGGGTAAGAGGACAAGTGCTAGGTCACTTCTAGACTCACGTAAGATCAAGGCTCAACATAGCTCTGAAAAAAAAATGTAAAGAAAAACATAATCACACAAGTCATTAATAGATTCTGATTCAGAAGGCAAAAATACAGCTCCTGAACCAAGTATCTTCCAAATCATGATCAGAAAGCAGCTCTATTTTTGGCTTGTACTTGAGCTAAGCACCCTTCAGATATTTAGCTTTAATTAAGTGAAAAAATCTGGATGTTCAGATTTGAATATAGTTTGAATATTGGCTTTGTTGTCTCAATAGGATACTCTTTCCAGTGGAGGGTTCAAGCACTTCCTGCTCTCACCTTGCTCTGTGAATCATGAATGTCAATCAAAGAGCTCCATGATCTTTCTGTCTTCTCGCAAGATGCCAACAAAACCTTTGTCTTTAAAATTGCCTCTTCTTGTTGAGAAAAGACTCCAGAAGTCTCCCTCTCAATTTGTAGAGATGATGCTTATGTTAATTATCCTTACTATATTTCAGGTAGATGATAAAAACGTGTGTTCAATCAAACAAAACTTAACCTTTATAATGAAAAAAATGACACAAAATTAATCATTCCATTGGCCTTGTCAATAAAGGTGATGATGGAGGACTGAAACAATGTTTGAATTCATTTTTATTTACCATCTCCTAGTTTGGCACTCTAATATAGAAACGTTATCAGAGGTGTGGATCAGTCATCAGCTGTTGAGCAGACAAATCTCATAGCTAAAACCACAACTGTACAAGATGTAAGCTTAAGAGAGACAATTATAATGCAATTTCAGTACTGTTCCCCTTACTCAAAAAGCTTCTGCCTAATACAATGTAGAATATTAATTAAATTTACAAATTTCATTTGATAAATTTCAAATAGTCCTCTTCTCATTAGCTCCAGCTGAACCTGCTGGCATTTCAGCCCTTCCGATTGTCCCTCTCAGGCTCTTGAATATCCTTGGAGCAGCAATAAAAGCACTCAATATACAGTGAGTAAGTGAGTAAGTTAAGTGCATGCCCCTGAAACGCTCTGTTAAGTGAGCCAATGCCACCAACTGCTACATCATGTATTGCTATACATGGAAAGACTCATTAGGCAATAATTCAACTCAACCTGTGTACAGTATTGATGGAAGGATTATGAGTATGATCCATAATGCATGCAATGGGGAACACCACCATGTGGTTTGCTGTAAAAGAACCAGAAAGCAAAGTCCAGAAGATCAGTTTTGTGATAGTTTTAAACAGTTTTCAGCAGCTAAGGACAGCTTCAGTGCAACACTACTTGTGGATTACAGGTTTAAATTATGTCTCAGAGGTTAGGGCTTTACTTCAGCTTGGTGGAAAAAGCTTCTGCTGAGGAAAGTTCATAATGACCAATTCAAGCTTCTCTGAATTGTGCTGTAAAGAACTTCTTCTTAGAAAGAAAGGCAGCTTGAACTAAGTCTAGTTATTTTGAACAGCGGGTCACAAATCATTCACCAATCAAACCAAAATCACAACCAAAACCATGAACCAGAACCACAAACCAAACACAATCTCTTTGATCTGGGAAGCTGCACTGCAGATGTTGGTTAAGCACCCCATCCAAAGTCATTCACAATTAACTTTTCTTTTCTTTTCTTTTTTTTTTTTTAAAAAAAACAAGGAATGTTCTCGTAGCCACAATTTCTTTCCTCTCCATATACTTTCTAATGCCCACAATTCCTCTTTCAGGTAATCTTTAGAAGCTACTCCCAATAAAAGCTATCTATCTGTTACATAAGTAAGTAAAGGAGAAGGAAGTAGGTGTGTAACTTGAGTTTCCCTTGCAGGATGTCCAAGGGAACATATTCCTATGTATTCCTCATCTTTTTTGAAAGCTACTGAAAATTACTTTCCCTTTGTTTGGGGTTTACCTTCAAAATGCTAAATGTAACTATGTTCTATGCTCCAACAAGACTTGAATTCTATGTATTGTATTGTATGTATGTATTGTATGTATTTTCTTTTAAATACTCTCACAAAAGTCATAAGAAAGCCTCAAAGTATTTAGATGTTAAATAATTACACAGGAGTGGCCCAAACTTTTGAATGCTTATTCAAACTGAATTCAACAGTTAGATATTTCAAGATTGAGCGGTCCATACAATCTCTGATTTGTAGAACTGACCAAATATTTAAAGACTTTTTTTTTCATGAAATACTGTTTAAATATTTAAAAAGTCTGCTAAAGTCATCTTATTCTGTTTCCTGAGGTTCACTTTCAACTTAGCATTCAAATGATTCCATTCTACTAGAAAAAAAAAAAAAAAGAAAAAAAAGATCATTCCATGACATTGCATTCATGTGCAATGTCCAAAGGTGCCTGCATATGTATAAAGGTGCTCTACATTCTCGCAAAACTTGGGGGTGGAATACTGTAGAAATGAAGAAAATAAATATATGGAAACTGCAATATGCTTGTGGATAGCCTATAAGCATAAAAGGAGAAAAAGTAAATTGGATAAATCATTCATTATGAATTAGTTTTTCATCTCTAAGATTTAGTACAAAAGAACAATATATGACATCTACATATGACATTTGTTGCTGGCCAATGAATATATTCACTTGTTATTAGAATCCAGATATGTAATGCAGTGGGTTATTCAGAAAAAAAATTGATTCTTTCATGTAAAATTAAAAGCCTTTCTCCTGAAATACTACTTACAAATTCATACATTTATCCAATAGGATTCTGAAATTTTCTTTCCCCTTTCACACCAACAGAGGGTTAATTGTTATCAAAGTCCATAAGATATTAAGATGAAATTGTATTTGGATTGCACTTATACTTCTCTCCAAAATGGCAAGAGCTTTTCATTGCAAACTGCTAAATGACACAGTCTGAAAAGCCCATACAAAACTGTGATACTTCTTGGTGTAACCCTATTTACATACATATGTGGTTGGGTAAAGCTTTATGAATAACATGGTTTTCCTCAAATTTCTTTATTCTAGAAAAATGTCTAATTGAATAAGATCGTTATCTTCTCAATGGTTTTCATAATGATAGTTTAAGATAATGGAGTGGATGGATGTTCATTTTATGCCTAGATTTGCCACAGTTAGAAGAAGTCAGACATTTTTGATGGTACTTCTCTCCACTACTTGAATGCCTGTTGTTATGGTGATGGTTCCAGGAGGGAACATTAATGAGGCTCACTTGAAAGCTTTGATGTTTACTGCATGATTATTTATAACACTTCATAAAAAGGTGATAGTTAGTTTTGCTACTGTTAATATGCATTATTGTATCAGTTTCCATAAGAATTACCTGAATTTCTATTATTTCTGCTATGCATCTACAACACACAATTTTCAATGCAAGCATATATACACATAGATATGTATATATAATATATTCATAAATATAGGGGAGGTGTCAGAGGACTAGAAGAAAACAACGTCACTCCAGTCTTCAACAAGAGCAAAAGGGAGAAGCCGGGAAACTACAGGCCAGTCAGCCTTACCTCCGTCTGTGGGAAGGTGATGGAGCARCTCATCCTAGAGAGCATCTCTAAGCATGTCAAGTAAAAGAAGGTGATCAAGAGTAGTCAGCATGGATTCACCAAGGGGAAGTCATGTTTGACAAACATGACAGCCTTCTCCAGTGGGATGACTGGCCAGTTGGATGATGGGAGAGCCGTAGATGTTGTCTATCTTGACTTCAGCAAGGTCTTCAACACTATCTCCCCTAACATCTTCATGGGGAAGTTCATGAAGTGTGGGTTAGATGAGTGGAGAGTGGGGTAGATTGAGAACTGGCTGGATCCAGAGGGACCTGGACGGGCTGGAGAGTTGGGCAGAGAGGAACCTCMTGAGGTTCAACAAGGACAAGTGCAGGGTCCTGCACCTGGGGAGGAATAACCCCAGGCATCAGTACAGATTAGGGGTCGACCTGCTGGAGAGCAGCTCCACAGAGAGGGACCTGGGAGTCCTGGTTGACACCAAGTTAACCATGAGGCAGCAGTGCCCTCCTGGCCAAGAAGGCCAGTGGGATCCTGGCTGCATCAGGAGGAGTGTTGCCAGCAGGTCAAGGGAGGGGATCCTGCCCCTCTAGTCAGCTCTGGTGAGGATGCACTTCGAGTATTGTGTGCAGTTCTGGAATTCATAGTACGAGAGGGACATGGAGCTTCTAGAGAGGGTCCAGTGGAGGGCAATAAAGACAATTAAGAGACTGGAGCATCTATCGTATGAGGAAAGACTAAGTGAGCTGGGCCTGTTTAGCCTGAAGAAGAGAAGACTGAGAGGAGATCTTCTCACTATGTGTAAGTACCTGAGGGGAGAATGTAAAAAGAATGGGGTGAAACTCTTCTCAGTGGTGGCCAGTGACAGGACAAGGGGTAATGGACATAAATTGAAATGCAGGAAGTTCCATCTCCATGTAAGGAAGACCTTCTTTCCTAGGAGGGTGACAGAGCCCTGGAACAGGCTGCCCAGGGAGGTTGTGGAGTCTCCTCTCTGGAGATCTTCCAAACCTGCCTGGATGCCGCCCTGTGCCACATGCTCTGGGTGTCCCTGCTGRAGCAGGGAGCTGGACTAGATGATCTCTAGAGGTCCCTTCCAAACTCAATCATTCTGTGATTCTGTGATACTTATATGTAATCAAAAGGACTTGGAAGAACAAACAGAAATCTTATTTTCTCACAAAGGACATCTTTTACTATTTGTAAGGACTTGCCTAGGTCATAACTTTCAGCCATCATGCAGAATCTAGAGGATCTATATTGCTCTTTTGTGATGAACTGAGCATGACTTCCCATATCCTAAGATAAGCTATGGAAACTCTAGGAACCCACATCACCTAAAACACAAGTTTGCTGAGGCTCTGACAGACCAACATGAGGCATGCTGCAGAAAGAGCGGAATTGTTGGATGGAGCCTTCAGACCCAGGAGTACCTGAAGGTGCCCACAGAAGTGGGGCTCCCATGTGCTATTCACGTACGCGGTTACTTACATACTCCTCGTAGGCCTCATGCGCGGGTGGCGGGGGAGGTCTGTAGCCGGGGACGGCCGGAGCGCCCCGTGCGCGTGGCGTGGGAACGCCCCTTGCCACCGGGGGCACCGGGAGCGCTCCGCGCGTCACCGGGGCTCCTCGCGGGGTCTGCGCCCCTCGGCCAGGCGGCGGCGGCGGGATCGCACCCCCACGGCCCCTGCGCAGGAGGGAAGRCAAGTTAAGAGCTCGGCAGCGTGTGCAAGCATTACCTCATCTTAAAGCAAGTTGTTCTTTCAATATTATTTAAAAAACGCGTTACTGGGGTTTTGGCAGTCAAGCGCTTTTAGGCAATATCTCCAGAGGAACTGTATTACGGAAAGGCAATATTCTTAAGACATCCAGTGACTTTTAAATTCAGTTCTCCTRATGCCTGTAGCAGTGAAAATCTGTGTAATGTCATTCAGTTTTGCAGAGTTACTCTAAGGAAGCTCTAGAGCAAGAAGAGAGCGAGGACTTTCCTGTCCTGCCCTCAACCTGCAGAAGTGACCATCTTTAACATCCTCCTTTTCCTTGCGGGGCAGGGGGACCTGCTCAGCAAAGGAGTAGGGTAGATGGCAGAAATGCTCAGGGCAAGGCCAAGCAGAGCAGTGGCACCAAGGCAGGGACGCGCTTTCCTTCTCATTGAATTTAGAGCAGCAGAACGGACGGGTAGCATCGACTCTGCTCGTGCCTGCTGTGTATGAGAGCAGCACAGACAAGTTCAGCCTCCACTCGCTCTTTTACGTGGCCTCCATCCTGCTGCACTAATCAGCACGTCTGCAGGAGAAGCTGTTCCAGGTTACAAACAAGGTCTGGTAATTATATGACACCCTAAGTTAGAAAGGGATATACCAGGGAAGCAGGCTTTGAATTTTCTCTTGGAGCAGCATCCTTGAGCAGCGTGACTGGCATCACTTAACAGCCAGCTCTGGAGCAGTGAACTCATTTCCCTCGTAGTGTAAACTGCTGTCAAGTTTGCTACTGAGAAAGTCAAACCCATAGCTTTTGATGTTCCTTATTTTATTACATACACTTTACTATTTAATGATAATATTTAATTAAATGTTTAAATAATTAATTGGCAATGTTTTTAGAGTGAACTGTTTTTGGAATAAGTTTAAGTGAAGCTCCTCAAAGACATAAGGTCTAAGGGAAGACTGATTTCTGAACTCTTTTAAAGACTTCCAGTGGAAGATTAACACTTGCCAGGGTTTTGGCAAATGTATGAAATGCACCATTGGCAAACCATTTAGCAAATCATTATTTGGCAAATGTATCATTGGCAAATGAATGTCAAGTGTAAAAAAAATCTAAGCATGTGCCTCACAATACATATAGAAAATTCTGATTTAATTCAAACAGAATTGAAGGAAAACGTGATAGAGGCCTTTGGGGAAAAACGGYCACAGGCAAGATCTACAAATTTAATTACTGAAAGAGAACCTCTCCACCAAGTTTAGAATAAGGAGGCTCCCCATTGTATCTGCTCTGAAATAAAAGTGGTTTCCTTAGGACCCATCTTGAAATGATCTCTGTGGAGGCCTAGAAGTAACTATATAACTTAGATGCCTTAGGCAACAAATTTCTCAAGGGTTCACAGTGAAAAATGAGTCTGAAAGAGAGCATTAAGATTATATATTGGCCTTATGAACAGAGCCAGAGCTATCCGTTGCCAATATATGAGTACTTGGAGGAAATCAGGAAACAAATTCATATACCAACATTTCTAGACAATGTCAGTGTAACTCATATGGAATTGATAACATGCAGAACAAATAATATATAATGCAATATGTATAATATAGATAAAATATTATGCGTATAATCTGATTAGTAGTCTGGTATTTTGGTATACCACCCAATATGGAAGAACTGCACATTTGAGGACTGGGAACAACACAGATCAGACAATTTCTTGGAAGAAAAACATCTTGCTTCACTGATCATGACGCGTATATGATTTTCTTTTATTTAAACTTTGAACTAGTGGCATGATAGTTCATGCTAAGATACCTTGATGGAGCGGCAGGTGGCACACGGATCCCTCTTCCTCGAATGCCCCGTCCACGAGCTGAGTCATCTGAACCATTCAAATAGGACAGTTCTCGCAGCTGCTCCTGACGAATTTCATCRTTATAATCCTGAAATGTAAATGGTAAAACTCACTGAAACTTGGTCAATAATCTRGCTGTACTCCTAAGCCACCCAAAACTACTGTTTGGCATTTCCCATCTTTCTATGTGGGTCTCGTTTGCATGAATTGTTTTGCAATATTACCTGTATGCTGGAAAATTATATTTTTGTATTCAGAAATGATATGAAATTGAGTTTTTCAAAGACTGGACAGCTACCTATAATACGTGGAAAGACCAAGTTATGCGTGTACTAAGGTGGCTATAGGAAGACACACACACAGAGTAAACACACATGTCACACAAGGCATACATACAAAGCAGACACAAAAATATATCTGTAAATGAYGCAAATGGGCTTTCACATTAAAAATAAAATGCCAATCTCAAAGAGCTAGATTGGATGAAAAAATGTGTTTTATAAATATGTTATATTTTTTTCGTGGACACCCTTGGCTACATTTCTGCACTCCATACACAGATCCTCTCCTATCAGTGTAAGATAATTTCTGCACCTTGGCAAAGAAAATTTACACTAGATTAATTCAACTGGATGATTTAATCATAACATTCCAGTGATTACAGTGTTATGAATTGAAACCCTACATTTGTATAATTTCCTGTGGTGCTTTCACTGAATGTAGTTGTACCATTGGCAGAATGTTATCAGCACTGAATGTAGCCTTTAGTTTATCCTGCATATCCACTAAACAATTTCTAAACAGAGTTCTTTCTTTAGAGCTCAGAATTAACTWTACTATACCATCTTTACCAAATAACATTGTTAGATGATATAAAATAGGCCTATKGTAAGCCTGCAGGGTATCCGCTCTAGCTTCTCCTGGCTTTGCAAACAGATGATCAGATTAATTTTCTTTTCTTACTGATACAAAATACACAATATTAGACAATTTATACTTATTTTGCAGTCTTTGTCTCAGTCAGAATGACTTTTTTTATCTGGTTTCTTTCCTTTGTATCCCGCTCTTTGCCTGCTGATCATGGTAATAAGAGCCTGCTGCAGTAGCTGGCTCTGCGACAACAGAACTGTGCAACAGTTAATTAGTGTTTCAAAACAGGAAGGATTATTGAATTTCAGCCCTTCAGTTTTATTGAATTTCAGCCCTTCAGTTTTTCCTTCCTTTAACAAGCAATTGCCTTTGACTAGTATTGCTCCAGACTGGAGCTCCAGTCTGGACTAGTATTGCTCCAGACTAGTATTTCAGTTGCTCCAGAAATGATCTGGTGGATGCCTAGTTGAATATGAGCTAATGAGGTGCTCTCACTTATAAAGTATAAGGTAAATTTAAGACTGAGTTACTATATTATCACCAAATTGTACCCTCTTAGATCAAATTTCACTTCTAAATTTCTAATTAGTGAATCTGTTATCAAATCTATTAACAAAACCTAAAAAAAAAAAAAAGAAAAAACTTCATTATGCAATACTACAAATGACATTTGCAGCAGAATCATAATTAAAAATAAACCCCCACTTGCTAAGAAACAGAGTAATAGCTTTTCATTCACAGTAATCTCCAAATCTTTTTGTACATTTTTTCTACTGGCCTGACATTAATGATGCTAAGCCAAGGACATCTTCCTAAATCAATATGCTTGTAAAACACAGACAAAAACATAGCATCAGTCAGGTCATATTTACAGTAATAATGGAACAGGTATAACTTGTGCCTTGATTAATATTATCTGTTATTCAYGCCTGGCTTTGAAAGGATTCTGACTTCAAACTTGCCAGTTGAGTTTACCCTTCAGATTCTGCACCAATGCAAGGAGTGAACTTCAGAAATAATGTAAGTAAGTTTGGTAAAAGAGAGATGTAAAAAACCTGCATGGTAGGAAGTCACAGCTTTTCATGTAGCTGCTTTAATCTTCGCCTTTGCAACATTCCTGAATAAATGAATCCCTAGAATAAATTGCCTCATAGTTGTTATTCCTTATCCAGATCTGCATATCATTTAAAATGTTAATATTGACCAAAAAGAAAATCTAAATAACATTTATAAAATATAGCAAGATGTGCAGATCTGCACAATTCTGGAATGCAATGCCCTCTGKTTTTTTTACAGTTCACTTATGGTGTGCCCAGTTGAGAAACACGTGCAATTTATTTTGAAACAGCAAGGACAAAACAACAAAGTACATGCAGGACTCTAATTAAGGTGCTGGGAATGGTATCCTGAACGACCTCAATTAAAAACTGTAACCTTATACACATCATTTATCTTATGTGTCCTTTAAAAAGCATAAYAAAAAATGTGATCGGCTAAACCTGAGATCTGTAATTTTTAACAGGAAGGCTTACTTCAACTCTTTCATTAAACAGAAACATAACACAGAATTAATCTTTTATAACTACTACARGAGTCTAGCTAGAGACAGAGAATATTGCTGAATATTTAATTGTAGCTGAGTTCAGAGCCTAGGACTTGAACAAAATTATGTTGCTGTTTCAAATATATCCAGTCCCAAGAGAGAGCACAAGATGTTACAAGACAAACCTGTACTGAACTGAGTATAATGAAGCAGTTACAAGCTGCAGCAATAAATAGTGTTTCGGGGGAAAAAGCTCTCCTCATGTTAAAAACAACTCGCGAGTAATCTACTTTGTTCTGCACTTACTGTTTTTTTCTCTAATTTAGAAACTTTGTAGCTGATGATCTACATTAACCTATATATTCTGCACTTAAATGCATGTTGTTCACATCCTTATSTGCATTACTAGCTACCAAGAGCTTTTCCAGGGAATGAGGAGAGTTCCATCTACTCATACTGTGGTGGTCAAGGTGTGGAGCCCCACTCACAGCCACCACTATTCACCTCAACAGGGCTACAGAAAAGCCAAGGATTTACCATYGCAGCCAAGTCAGTGGCATCCAGGGCCATCAGAATTCTGGATATGTATATATGTAAAGTGCCTGCAAACAAATTACATTTTTAGATTGAAGTATTTAGCATTCTAGCATATGTGAACACAATGATCCCAAACTACCACAGCAATGTTTATTAATGAGGGCTGGGGATGGTTAATTAGGTCAGCTGCCTTCTCTATTATAGCAACAAAAGACACATCCTGTTCGTACCAAAATCAGACCAGTGGCAGCTCACCCAGGGCAGTAATGACAGAAAAGTGCTGCAAAGATTAAGAATGCACRTAAACTAGAAAACTCCAGTAACCATTTCTGCAAAAGATGGCTGAATATGACGCAAGCTGCAAAGTCGGATCTGAACTAACAAGAACACACAGTGACAAGGGAGGAGAGTGAATAAAGAAATCAAAGGGTGAGACACAGACAGAGGCAATGGATTTCAGGAGGAGCTATCAATCATTAGCTTAACAAAGGCTCAGAGAAGCCAAGGATAAATCCATCCCTTAAGGAGTGTGAACTCCTGCCCTGAAAGTGTTTTGCACGTGTAAGTTCCTTCCAAGTGCGTTATTAATATAAAATACCACTTCTTTCTGTGACAGGTGAATTTCATTCTAACATCATGCTTAAGAGAAAAGTAATTCAGATTGAAGCAAAACTAGCAAGAGAATGCGGATTTACTCAAATCAAACATAAAATAATGCTCAGGATTTGCTTTGATAATTTTGGAGTTATCAAAAGAGGGCTCACTGGGTCCCTCATATGCACCACACTGTAGCATGCCAACCCTCCTTACACCATCAAGCTGGATGTGAAGAGCAGACCACATAGAACAGAGCAGTACATCCCTCACATTAGCACAATATACAAGTATCTTAATGCTATAATGAAACAACTATCTGTTAGCACTTCTTGTTTGAACAACCAAACTCTCCTTGATTTCAGCTGGGTGAAAAAGTGGTTGCAAAAATGCATGCTTTCCTTATGTTTACTTTCTGCGTAATTCCTAAAGCATTCCCCTACGTAAAGGGTCTTCAAAGTAATATCTACCCTACAGTAAGAACAGTCAGCTGTGTTGGCAAGGCTGTCAGCTCTTTACCTCCACAGCTGGGAACAGAAATCGGGTCCACAATTCCTGAAAATCTGAGTCTGCACTGTCTGAATTGCTAAACACTCTTTCCTTTTCAGGCAAAATATATTTTTGAAATTGCCTGTTGCCAACAGAGAGCACCATATTCACATACATCCTTATACCCCGTGCTGCGTTTCTCTGTTTCTGTGTTCTGCCTGCTATGTAGTAGAAAGGAAATAGGAGACTGATATGAACTCCCTTGGCATTTCTGCATCCTGCAAAGCTTCCATCATCAGCAAAAGAGCTTGAGGGCTCGGTATATTTGCAGAGATTCGTTGAAGCTAAAGTATCTCCCCTAAATCCTGATGTTGCTGCCTTGGGGCTATATTCAGGCAGCTTAAATTCCAATTATCCTACAATTTTCTATCGAATGGATGCTTCAGCAAGGCCACAACCAGCCAGCAGGACAGAGGGGCTTGGGTGGACTTGGGGAACGTGAATATAGCCCGTTTTTTTTTGTATTGGACTACATACTGACTAATTTTGGACACTAAAAGAGACATCATCATCCTGTGTGTATGCTTCCCCACTGCGTACGTAGGGAAGCTTTTCAGCTTGTGGTGGTGAAGAACTCCCTGGAGTTGTTTGGCCTCAAAGCAGTTGGCTCTCAGATGATTCAGCTTCAAATGCACAGTGAAAAGTACTCACCTCAAGTCAAGAGTCAGGGTCAGCTCCTTATTGTACAGAAGAGGCCAAGAACTCAGAGATTCTCACTTTCTAGCTGAGCTCTTTAAGTATCTGTTACAGAAAAAGGCTAGTACTGGCTGCTCAGTATCAGGAGAGAGTTTGATCAACTAATATCTGTCCCAGCAGAGGCAAGAGCATTTCCTGCTATTTCTTTATATTCCAAGATCCAATCCTAAGACTTCCGTGTATTCAAAATATAATGGCTTGGGGTCTTCTTCCGTAGGTGTCTAAAACCTCTCACTCTCTACCATTGTCTATTTAAGAAACGTGGACAGTCATACCAGGTAGGCTGGAAAGCCTTTTCC